AACATAGTGCTGAAACAAGCCTTCCCATCCATCCACAACGTGCGAGGGTGTCTGGTGTCACGTTTCAAGTTGATGGGACTTGGGTTACTTGCAATCTGAATAATTCATCATTCATCAATTCCGTGCAGGTTCTATCTGGTCTGTCTGATTTTACCTAGTAATAATATCCGTCGGTGGGAAGCAAGGGCGTACTCAGGCCAAGCAAGCATGAGAGTAGGTACCCAGCAGAAAAGATATGAAGCAAGGTAACCAAGGATGCCATCCAAAACGCCCACAATTCCAAACACGTGTCTAAGATCAAGAAAGGTCCTCTTTCTCTTCGTCTCGCACATTACATTCCGGTCACATAAATTTCTTGGCCATGCCGACCAAGCCACCACCGACTAAGCCGTTGCCCCAGCTGTCGTCGCCACCAGTGGTAAAGCTGCGTTGCTCGCGCTCCATGCGGACGGAGGAGGCGCCACCGCCGAAGCCGCCAGAGGCCATGCGGACAGCATCGCCGACGAGGCCGACGGAGTCGCCTGAGGCGGCCTTGGAGGCGGTACTGAGCATGCGCTCGATGACAGGGGGGATGCGGAGGCCGAAGCGGGCGAGCAGAGCCGTCAGGAAGCCACCCGTGATGAGAGGCATGATGACGAGGAAAAAGACCTTCCAGGGGTGGCGCTTAGCCCAATGGACCAGGTCGCGCAGCAGCCGTTTGACTTGCTTGTACGACTTTTGGATGAAGCCTTGCCGCGGTGAACGCTTGTAGTAGGACGAACGGTCTATGGGCACGCAGCGGTCAGCGAATGTCATCAATTTGGTGGGGGATTGCTTGTCTCATGGTCGTGGCGCCACGGCTGGGGGGCATTCCACATGGGAGACACGATGACGATGCTTGCAAGACACAAGGGTGGTTGAAAGGAGGTTGAGGAGGGAAACGTACTGCTGCCAAAGAAGCTGGATCGGCTATTGTTGCCGCCGAGCCCGAAGAAGGAACCGCGGGACGAGCTGTGCTTGTCATGGCGGTCGCGATCGCGGTCACGGTCGCCACCGCCGCCGAAGAACGAGCCGGCGAAGGAGCGACCGCTGCTGCGACGGTGGGGGGAGCTGGAGCGCGACCGGGAGCGTTTCTTGTGGTGATGGCGGGATGAGGATTTGCGATGATGGTGGCCAGAGCGGCCGGAGATGACGGAGCCGCCGTCGTTGAAGGCGTCGAGGAAGCCCATGATTGCGGTTGTGGTTGCGGATGCGCCCAGAGCTGTGGGACTCGAGTGGAGGAGGGAGAGAAGAGGTCAATTGAAGGGTAAACGAATGAATTATATCCCCCGTCCGGCTTCTCTCTCTCTCTCTCTCTCTCTCTCTCTCTCTCTCTCTCTCTCTCTCTTTCTCTCTCTTTCTTTCTTTCTTTCTTTCTTTCTTTATCCTCTGTGTCGAAGAATTGTGCGGAGGGAAGAGAAGTGCCGGTCGCGAGATGCTTGCGGTATGCACCAACTGGACTGTGCAGGATGCCAGATGCAAGTCAGTCCAGAGAGGGGGCGAAATAACGGGACGGGAGCTGAGCTGAGGGTCCTTCACCGCAAATTCGAGTGGCTGGACGGGAGCGGATTGGAGGGGAGCCGGGGGATCGCACGGAGCTCCATGGCGCTAATGCAAAAAAGCACCACCCACTGTAATCAGTGTACAGATAACGACAAGTAAGACCTGCTAGTTAGTGCTAATTAATGCTTGCGTCTTGCGGTCCTGCGTACGACGCTTCGTATCAATCCCAGTCGGCGAACCGGTGGGAGTGGGAGTCGTTGTCTTCCGGGGACCCAAGTCTACCAAACGCTACTGGCGTAAGTTTGCCTTGATGAGTCGATGTTTGGGTAATAACGGGCGTGTACATGCGATGCCTTACCGCATTGAGTAAAAGCATATCCATTCCAGGTCTGTAGTGCTTGAGGTCTCGGTGCCTAAGCTAGGGGAAGCTGGATCCACGGTGAGGAAAGGTACGCCAAATGGACGTTGTTCCATTAGCAACACTCTTGGTGATTGACAGACAGACACTCCATCCGTTCAGTCAATTCCTACCTTGACTTATTCAACTTTGCAACATCTATGCAATTGCATCCACATACTTCATACACTGTGCAAAGTGCATACGTACTGTCCTCCTACGCTGTGGCGGTTTTAAGGGTGAGCTTGGCGGGGCAGCGGTAGGTGCGGTGCGGAGCGGTGCGGAGCGGTGCGGAGCGGTGCGGAGCGATGCACTAACGTCGAACAAACAGCCCCAACCCGCCGATAACCGACCAACCACGGACCAGCTCGCTCGCTCGAAAAGCTCCGTTCGCCCTCTGTCGTTCTGTGTAATTCATTTTCCACCTCAACCAGCAAGACATTTTGTACCGTAGAGCCCCTCAGTGAGTTGTGAGAACTGATGCTCTCGGGCACGAACACTAAACTAGCTAGCTATTAGGTGGCATTGCGTATTCTGGAGCTATACTAGGATCTTTCTCTCATACTTTGGTTCGCTTATTATGTCGGCCACTTGTCACTACGTGCGATGCAACGCTGAGCTCAACCCATCCTTCAACAACACGCCCGTTGAGTCACGGCATGAACGCATTCGCCACAGTCAAAGCACTGCGGTGCCAGATCAAGCCCAATGCACAAGCAGGAAGCCCAAAGAGAGAGCATGGCCAATTGGGAATACGTGGAATAGCCTGCCGTGTCGGGAAAAGTCCACCGACAATTCGCGTCGTCAGCAAAACCAACGTGTCCCGGGTAGACCAAAGTCAGGGACCTCTGGTTGGCAGGGGCTCCATGACATTGCAGCAAATATCACACGAACAATATAACTTTTATTGACGATTCGAGTTCACAACGCATCGAATGCATTGATCCATGGACAAATGTACTACATCCTTTGTACTGTGACTCATCACAGTCAAAGCACCGCCGTGGTTAATTGCCTGAGTCGTAGTCATGAATGCCCCACACGTGAATGTCTCCGCCGAGGGCTAGGGCAAAGCTCGCGCATACTGATAATGGTCGTTTGGTTGTCGATAGTTCATTAGCAACAAAGCAATTTGGCGCAGTGGAAGCGCGGTATGTTTAGACTCTAAGTCCGTAGCAGTTCCGAACTCATAGCTAACTTGCCTCAGCCGGGCTCATAACCCGGAGGGTACGTCTCACATTCGAGTTTGATGTCAACCACCAGCAGTAACTGACTCCATCTTCAGTCGCACGATCGAAACGTGCAATTGCTATGCAATTAACCACATTACAAGGTGGCTCTCTTTTTTTTGCAATTCCAGGTTAAACTGGATTCTAAGTTTTTGTTCGGGGGTCAACTTTGCATATACCATAGGAAGCGAGATGTATCAGCTCCACGTAAAAAGACAGATGCCAATCACTACATCATTGGCCAAGAGCAGACTAAGAAACGTCTTTAGAACATTCACGTTTCCCTTCTATCCTTTTTGATATTTACTTTCGGTAACCGCTTCATAAATAAAGAGCTAAGGCTCTATTCTCTTGCAACTGGGCTCTGGCAAAAAAAAAAAAAAAAGAACATGCTAGCAATTGCACATTTCGATCGTGCGACTTGAATTGCTGTTAGTTGATGTTCCTACACCTTGGTGGATGGAGGTGCTTACCCTCCGGGTTATGAGCCCGGCTGGGATGAGTTAGTTACGTTCGAACATGAATCTTGAGGATTCTAATGTATACATACCGCGCTTCCGCTGCGCCAAATTGCTTTGATGCTTGAAGTAGACCCGTGATTGTTGCTACTTATGCACCGGAGGGAATTCCCTGTGGAGTATAGTTGAGGTATCGTCGGATCCGGACCAGCATGGCAAAACAATAAACTCCTGGCATCACATCTCACAGTTGGAACAGGTCCTAGATATTTACACCACATAGTCTACACTTGAAACCATCCTAGATATGGAAGTATCCAGACCAAGGAAAGGCAGAGGTCGATTCGAGGGATGCCACTGATGTACAATGAGGATGTGGATGGTCCACTGTGATTGGCTTCATAAAAGTCCTTTGAGTGTGACTCACTGACGACTTACGATTGCGGAACAACAACAAGCACTGCCCCAGTCGCACTGATGGTCTCTGGAGATATTAACAAACCAAGGGCACGAAAGTCTCAAAAAGACCAAAACTGAAACAACGCATTCAAAAAAAGTCCCAAAAAAAGAAGTTGTGCTAGCAATTGCACGTTTCGATCGTGCGACTGATTTGCTTATTAGTCGACGTTCCAAGGTCTGGAGTCGAAGGATAGGCTTACCCTCCGGGTTATGAGCCCGGCTAAGAAAGGAATTATTAACGGTTCAAGCTCGTTGACAATCATGTTGCGAACATACCGCGCTTCCACTGCGCCAAATTGCTTTGTTGCTGATGGAAGCGTTTGGCTGTATTTCCACTGATATTGGCACGATACCGTTGCCGTGTGGCGGGGCGCTTTGTTGGTGGGGGTTTAACCCCGCCCCAGATAACGGCGTCGGGCTTGTGGGAGAGAGTGCAGATCACGGTTCGCTCCCGGCAGTTGAATATGATAATACTCGGAAATAGTCAATTGTGCCTGAAGAACGGAGAATACCCTTGAGATTGGATTGGATAGTTTTACTGCGTATACAAGACAGATCTGTAGGCATGGCTTTCCAGCTGAGCCTCATAGCATCGGAATAACTACAACATATCTGTTTCTTTACTCCGTACATGTCTGAGTTAATCCACGCAAGCGGGGGCAAAAAAACTTGGCATACGGACTGGTAAACCAGAACTACCGACAAAATAATACAGCCACTCAATACCCTAGACACATTAAGTGACTGTCCAAAACATTATGTCGCTTCAGCTTGGTGTGCCATGTTTTTTTTGCCCCCGCTTGCCACGGTAGGCAACTTACCTAGGTACCTGAGGTACCTTAGCTTAGGTAAGTAGCGAGGAAGGTAAGCCCCACCAAGAACCTGCAGGATTGCGAATAAGTAAAACCATTGTGACAGCACCTCCAACAGCAACAAAGCAATTTGGCGCAGTGGAAGCGCGGTATGTCTACGATTGAGTCTCAAAGATTGATGTTCGAATGTAACTAATTCATCCCAGCCGGGCTCATAACCCGGAGGTCGCACGATCGAAACGTGCAATTGCTAGCACATCTTTTTCTTTTTGCATTTAAAAGCCTTTTTCCTTTTTGGTGAGAGTGTGCCCGGTGAACAGGTTGTGGGCGCCAAGTCACGGAGCTGTGAGTCATCAGCACTAGACAGTGGCTGTAGTCAAAACGACACACCGAACGAGGTAAAAGATTAATACATAAGTTAAGACTCAGTCGTCGGTGAACGTAGTATCAAACGTCAACCTGCGAGTCCCTCACGAACCATTAGAACTAACTCGTTGACAACATGCATTGGTGATAGCTCCCATCATACAAGCGAGGACTTCTCAAAATTCACTGTTCCTGACCATCATCTCAACATATTCAGGAAACCACGCTCCTGCCTCTGGTGCTCCTGACCATTCCATATCTGGACCATTCCCATCACTTTCTCCTGCAGGCTTAACCCAAACGATCTGGTCAACATATTTGTTGTCGACACGCGTGCCAGGGCGCAACCCGAATTTCGCAGGGTGAACGTTGCCAAAGGCTCCCCATGTGGCTCGGGCACCTGGCAGAGCGACGCGGCTCTGGTCGACGATAAAATGCAGCGGTAGCCCTTGTTTTTCGAGATACGGGACAAGCGCCTCAATGAAACGGGACTCGTCCGATGACCTAGAACCCTGGGTGTACGGTTCGGGTATTTCGGCGTTGAATGGGTTGAAGTTGGAGACGTTGGTCGAGAAACCCCTGATCTTGGTGCGATTCGATGAATGGTCTCGAGCTCTCTTGAGGATTCTAGCAAGTTGTTTTGCAGCTATCGTGGGTTTAGTGACATATATCCTCATGACGCCAAGATGGTACTCACCAGGCTCAAGAGCGTCGTCCCAGCCAACCCATCCACCGTTCGCCGCGTCCAGGTACAGACTGACGTGTGTGAACTGCAGCGACATAATGGAGTATGCCGTGCCCCTTTCATATAAATGGGCAACATTCTGCTTAAAGTAAGGGTCCTTGACGGTGACGAGATTCCCCAGGACGTCTGGCTCGAGGATGATGGCGAAGTTCAGATCCCGGGCCGCGGCAACCTTTGCAGCAAAAGGTTTGACGAAGTGGTCCTTGTATCGCTGCAAGCCCTCCTCCGTGGCGGGGATGTTGTTCGGGCTGGATCCGCCGCTATAGTCCCGGCCCGGTATGTTGTAGAGAACTAAGCCGACGATTTGCTGCTGTCCTGTTTCTGCCTCCTTGGCGCGGGCGGATTGGATAGCCCTGTCGATGTCGGGGAGGTTTCCGATGCTGGAAATCCATACGAAGGTGCCAGTGTTCTGGAGGACTCTGACTTTGGCGGCGTTGTTTTCGTCTCCTAGCTGCTTGAATAGGTTGTAAGTTGGTTCCAGCTTCTCAGCCCAGCGAGGATTGGCGAAGAAGACCTTGCTGCTCCAGGGGTTGTTTGAAACGTTTTGCGCCCCGTGGACAATGGGTTGAGTACCCATGGATTGAGTGTCCATTGGTTGACTATCCATGATTGTTGCGGTACTTCTTTCTAAGAATTCGTGTATACGCAAAACTGGGCTGCTTAATAGCGGCAAAGAGACGGCTTCTTCAACGTAGGACAGGCCCGGCTCTTATAGTGAGTCAGTCATGGACAAGGCTCAATAGCTGAGACAACGATGAACACTCACGGTAGTAAACAACTGATTCGTGGCGGTGCTTGGCTCTCGCTAACAGAGTCTGGACGCAAATGAATGGCGACACAAAAAGCAACGAAAATAAGGCTGAGTGTCTCATATCGATTAGCGAACTTGAATCATAATGCGTAATCGGGTTTTTCAGCTCCGATTCAGCTCGGTTTTCATGGCTGAGTGGTGGTCATCTGGGCTTCACCAGGGAGGGTGCTGTAATGACTAACCATTGGCAAGAGCTCGTGGTCAACGTGCACCTATGAGCTTTCCTGGCTGAGACTTCCGTTACTTGGCAACGCCTCGTTTTAACTCAGCCTCTGACAATTTGACAAATGACGCTCCCGAGTTGCAACCTAGACACCACAATGGCCGATTGGAGACAAGGTAAGGAAGGGGCTGGGAGTTCAGCGGTACGCTAGTAGTCTGGACTAAGCCGTGTTAGCTCCAGCGATCAGCCGTCTCAGTTGTCGCCACCAGGTGACTCGGTTGGTGATAGCTCCGGTGGGCTCACAAAAAGCATGCACAACTGGATGAGAGAGGCAAAGTCATGGCTGGATAATTTTACTTCAACCCCTGTCTCTGCTAATGGATCCGTGGTTCCCCAGACTCGGCGTGGCATGTGTCCCAGATGTCGATGGGATAAAAAAGGAACGAAAACTATTGCATTGTTGGTGAAGAGTCCGAGAGCCTGTGGCTTCGCTGATCTGACTACCGACGCTTGACTTTCCTAGCTTATGAAGGGAGTACAAGATGTGATCCGGAGAATTTTGTGAGTACCAATTGATAACACGATCACAATGCGCCTTGTCAGTTCGTCACATTGGAGTGCTCACCTGACTGCAGGAAAGCAAGCTGAGTCGTCCCAATTGTGTTCCTGTCTAGCACTCTCTCACTAAGGTACAAGCATGTGAGGATGGTTGCATCATCGATATTTGGTGGATGGTCACGCTCTTTCGCAAAGGTCAAGAATGCTCATAAATTGGAAAAGCTAGTTACGTGACAATTCTCATTGACGTGTGACGTGTTCTGTTACTTGGAGAGCGTATGATTTAAATTATGCTTCTGCGTAGTCTATCTGCTCGGGCTTTGGATGTTACACCTGGGCTTTTGCGCTGTACCACAGCATCAGCACAGGTAGACAGGTATTTCGTACCTAACCACGGCTTGCTCAAGATGAATCATAAGTAGCTTCGGGAGGTCCTACTTGCTAGTCTACAGTAGGAATACACCTAAAGTGATAGCACGATCCTAGTAAAACGCGCTTGTGGCGTCAGCTTTCGACTCGGTTTTGGAGAGGAAATTTTCCGTGCCTGGTGAAGCTCCAGGGTAGCCCCCCTGTCGCGCTGGCCTCTTCGTGCATTAGATTAGGTAGGTACCCCCTGTTGCAAAGGCTTAAATGGAACGCAAGGGGTCCATCCCTCAAGTGGCCACGACTTCTTCACGGCCAGTCGCAGTTCGTTTTTTTTCCTCCTTCTTCAAGCAAAACACTGCCCGGCGCGGACCCGAGTTTTTTTCTTCTTATTTCTTTCAGTCCTGCCGACCGTCTGTGCTCCAACAGCTGGCCTTCCGATCTGGTTGCTTGCTTGCTTGTTAGTTGCAGTCGTTGCAGAGACACTGGCACGCTTACGACCTTGGGCATACGTATCATGCAAAGATGAAGATCTCGTTCCTTTCCGTTGGGCTCTTGGCACTGCTGAGCCCGCTGACAGCAGCATGGAGCAAAGAAGGTTCGTCCACGTCTACGATTGTGTCCGCGATCGCGTCCCTGTTCGCGCTCCCTTAGCCAGGTCGCGAACAATGACGAGACGATCCTCTCCGACCCTGTAGCTGACCTCGAGCTTGCTTCTAGATCGCGAAATCTTCCGCATTCGAGATGAAATCATGGCTTACCAGACCGATCCCTCCACCACCTTCTACGACATCATCGGCGTCTCTCCCTCTGCTTCCCAGGATGACATCACCAAGGCCTACCGCAAGATGACTCGCTCTCTCCATCCCGACAAGGTCAAGCAGAAGCTCAAGAACGATCGCGCCAGCGACAAGAAGGCGGGTGTTAACATCAAGCCCCCTACTCCTGCCCAGATCAAGACAGCCGTCAAGAAGGCCAGCGAGGCCCAGGCCCGCCTGTCCCTCATCGTCAACATCCTGCGCGGCCCCGAGCGCGAACGTTACGACCACTTTCTCAGCAATGGCTTCCCCCTCTGGAAGGGTACCGACTATTACTACAACCGATACCGTCCCGGCCTGGGAACGGTCATCGTCGGCCTGTTCCTCGTCATGGGCGGAGGCGTCCATTATTACATCATGTTTATGAGCTGGAAGCGCCAGAAGGAGTTCATCCAGCGCTACATCAAGTTCGCGAGGGACACTGCTTGGGGCGGAGGTTTCAACATCCCCGGTGCCGAGCCTGCGCCTGTGCCCGAGCCTGCGCCCGCGCCGCCTTCTGACGATGAGGATGGCCCACCTCAACCTATGAACCGACGACAGAGGAGAATGCAGGAGAAGGAGACCAAGAAGGAGGGCACGAAACCTACAGGAAAGAAGGGCCGCAAGGCCCAGACATTGTCGAGGGAAGCTTCGGCTGGCCCTTCTGCGCCATCTGGTGCGCGAAAGAGGGTCGTCGCCGAGAATGGTAAGATCCTTGTCGTTGACTCTCTCGGTGATGTGTACCTGGAGGAGGAGGATGAAGATGGCAACGTCAACGAGTTTCTCCTTGATGTAAGTCCCTGATTTTCAGTCCTGATTTTATACTCGTGACCGGAGCGCTAACACGATACAGCCCAACGAGCTTGCCAAGCCCACCTTCAAGGACACCGCTGTTGTTCGCGCCCCCATCTGGCTCTTCAACTTGACCGTCGGCCGATTTCTTCCCAAGAAGCCCGTCGACCTTGAGATCGATGTCCTTGATGATGATGATGAGTCTGACGTGCCTCAGCGCACCCCGAGCACCGACTCCGCGGGCGAGGACTTTGAGATTCTCGACAAGAGCACCGACTCGCTGAACAAGGCCAAGGCCTCTGGTGCCCAGCAGGGAGCCAAGACCAACAAGAGGAAGGGGAGAAAGAAGTAAACGGGATGGATCGTGTAGGATCGCTTGATCCATGGACAGCCACCGTACCTAAATGTTCCCATGAAATAAAACAGCATGTTAGGTGGGCTCTTCCTTGGCCCCTGATGCTACATTTTTGGCGTCTCGAGGAAAATTGGTTCTGGATAGCTGAAGCTTAGAGGGAGGGTTTATCTTGAAGCAGCCGTTGGACCCTGAACGTCAAGCGAGACTGGCCTGCTTCCTGCGCCACGTTTTGTGTTCACATTCGCCTTTATCTGTGACTGTTGCATTCCCTAGCTATTCGTAAACCTCTGGGGAAGACATTCG